CTAAATAAACATTTGATTTGATTTGATTTAGTAGTCCTCCTCTATTGCCTCCGAGGTTTCACAGCTGCTAATTGCTGTCAGTTTGCCTGCTTCAGACAGGGTTTAACAGGTTAGCTGGCCCTAGTGCTGGGGCTTTCTGTGGGGCTTAATTACCCTGCAGGCGCTGGAAAACTCCTTTGGGCTTGGTCCTATCATGGATACTTTTTTCGAGCACACTCTCGTCTTGTGTGAATTTGAAGGTTGTTCGTCACCCCAGCCTCAGGGAGACGATCATCCGTACTGCCTCCATCATGCTGTCTGTTGGGTCAGGGACACCTATGATCTGGAGTTTTGTGAGACTTGTTGCTGGCTTGTGCTCCAATTTCCTCATCCCTTATCTGATGATGTCAGGGATCAGGCAGCAGCTGCATTGCATGATCGCTTCTCTTTATTGCAATGGGCCAGGTTGGTTGCAAAGTTGGAGGCCCCGGAGCTGCCATTTAGGTTTTAGGACCTCAGATTTAGGGGCGTGAGTTGCTTCAGCCTTGGTTCAGTCCGTGTCCCCTCTTCCTTCCCAGGTGGGCCGGGGCAGTTTGCCCTGTTTGCCCCCCCCCCCCCCCCACCTCGGGTTCATTTCCAGGTACTTCCCCCCCTCGGGTTCATTTCCGGGTGGTCCCCCCACGGGTTCACTTCTGGGTATCCCCCCCCTCGGGTTCATTTCTGGGTTTCCCCCCCCCCCCCCCCTCAGGTTTATTTCAGGGGTGGGTGGGCCTCCTCATCGGGTTCATTTCTGGAAGCGCACCATGTTCATTTCCCCTTTCACAGGTAGTACGGCCGTGAAAGGGGAAAAGGGGGGAAAGGCTGGCTCTTTTTGCCCACACTTGGTCCCACACACTCGTAGGCTTTTTGGGTCAGATCTTGTGGCCTTCAATGGCGTTGGGCGGTCCTTCCTTCCTTCAGGGGGGGTCAGGTCGGGGGGGGGGAGGCTTCTTCCTTATCCATTCGTTGGGTCATCTTGGAGTGGGTTTGCTTATGCATGGTCGAAACGACCTCATCTTAGGGAGATTTCCTGCCAGTTTCAGGTTCCGAAACAGGACTGTGCAAATCTCCAGTACATTCTGGACTTGTCTTATCTGAACAGGTTGATTTCTTTCCCCCTCCTTTCGGATGACCACGTTGTCCAAAGTCCGGCTCGTTCACGATCCGGCACTTGGATGATTTTCCTGGACCTCAAGGACGTGTATTGGTACATCCTTATCCATTCAGGATTAAGGGATTGGTTAGGTTTTGTTGGTGGGGCGACAGGCTTGCCACTTTCGTTGTCTCCCGTTCGATTTGAATCTGACACGTCGCGGTTTTACACACTTGACTCCTCAGGTCATGGTGGCCCGTCTGCATCTGCTAGATCTTCGGGTTTTGGCCTACCTCAATGACTGGTTGGTTTGGGCTCCCAGCCAGTCTGCTTGTCCACTAGTTAGGGATCTGGCTCTTTCCCAGCTCGCTGGGTTCGGGTTCTTGGTGAACTGGTGGAAGTCCCAGTTGGTTCCGTAGGTTCGGAGTTGGCTGGGCCTTGTTTGAGATTCTCGGACGGCGTCCCTTTTTCTCCCTCCTGCGGCCTTGTTCCAGCTGCATTCCCACCACTGGCTGTTTTTAGGGGAAAACCCGGGTCACTTGGAGGTTGCTCGAGCAGCTGTGTGGGAGCCTGAATTTTGCTTTGGGTTTGAAACTGGTTTGGTTTCTCTTCTGGTGTCTTCGGAGCAGCCTTTTTCCCCACTTTCACGGGCTCTGGGTATGATCCCAGGTGTCCTTGCGCCATTTGCTGTGTCACTGGCTTCCCCTTCAGGTTTTTCAGGGTTTGGTGCCATGGCGCCTTCCTCCTCCCTCTGCCTCTTTCAACAGGTCGGTCTGGTGAAGTACCTCGCTGGTTTGACTTACTCTGTGTTATGGATCTGGCATTTCTAACGCACGTGTATCATTCTTTGTATGGTGATCAGTGGCTTCTTTTATGGTGTCCCACCTGTGGTCTTCTTCTCAGTGACAGTATGGAGACTTTTGGTGATTTTTCCGCCTTTTTCTTTTTCTGGCGGGTTTCGTCGGTGTCAGACCGGGTTGTTTTTGTCCTTTCTCTTGTGGCTTTTTCTGGATCGGCATCTCATGCCGAATACTGTCGCTTCTTATCACGTGATTTTGGCGGAGGTGCTGCAGCTTGCACTCAGGGTGGATGTAACTTCTGCTCCGTTTTTGCATGCTTTCTCGTGCATTCTTTCACCTCTGACCTAAGGCTTCTTAGTCATTGAACCGGGTTCCTTCTTTTCTTTCTTCTCGGTTTGTGGTGACCCCTTCAGTAGGTGATTGTTTTTGGAAGGCATGTTATTGTTGGCCTTGGCCTCTAGGGGTTGGGTTGGGAAGCTTTATGCTCTTCTCCAGTGCCAAGGGTTTAATTCCTTTGGTCCTGGTGGTTGTTTTGTCTGTTTGCAGCTGTCTCCTTTTCTGACGAAGAATGACACAGCAGGCTTCTGAAGGAGTCCATTGATTGTGGTTGCTTGGTTTGTTAGGCCAGGGGTGCATCACGCTCTGAGTCCGGTAGCTGCATTACGCTGCTACCTGCTGGCCACCAGTTGTACTCACCTATTTGTGCTTGCGGGGGTTGAGCTTTGGCTCTTTGGTCCCGCCTCTCAACTGTCAATCAACTGGTGTACAGATTCCTGAGCCTACTGGGCTCTATCATATCTACATTTGAAACTGTGTATGGAGTCAGCCTCCACCACATCACTGCCTAATGCATTCCATCCGTTAACTACTCTGACACTGAAAAAGTTCCTTCTAACGTCTCTGTGGCTCATGTGGGTACTCAGTTTCCACCTGTGTCCCCTTGTTCGTGTCCCACCAGTGTTGAATAGTTTATCCTTGTTTACCCGGTCGATTCCTCTGAGGATTTTGTAGGTTGTGATCATGTCTCCCCTTACTCTTCTGACTTCCAGTGTTGTAAGGTGCATTTCCCGCAGCCTTTCCTCATAACTCAGTTGTAATTACCTAAGTGTAATTACCTAAGTGTAGTTACAGGATGAGAGCTACGCTTGTGGTGTCCCGTCTTCCCAGCACACTTTGTCATATAACGCTTTGAAACTACTGACGGTCTTGGCCTCCACCACCTCCTCACTTAACTTGTTCCAACCGTCTACCACTCTCTTTGCGAAGGTGAATTTTCTTATATTTCTTCGGCATCTGTGTTTAGCTAGTTTAAATCTATGACCTCTTGTTCTTGAAGTGCAAGGTCTCAGGAAATCTTCCCTGTCGATTTTATCAATTCCTGTTACTATTTTGTATGTAGTGATCATATCACCTCTTTTTCTTCTGTCTTCTAGTTTTGGCATGTTTAATGCTTCTAACCTCTCCTCGTAGCTCTTACCCTTCAGTTCTGGGAGCCAC